GATACGCCAGTACTGCATTGGTTGATGGCATTCCTCTCTGAGGAATCATTCCAAGTAAGCATGTTTCAAATGATGGAAGTCACTCATTCTACCTACATGAGGTGATGTGCAAATCCTCTCTGTGTTCTCCTTTTGCATCTTCTAGTCTCTCTTCATGCTTGCTTTTATTTCACATTGTGCCTTTGTGCTCTCAAATTCTCCATCTATATATAATGGTTTCTCAATTGCTTTGTAGAAGAGTAATGTTATATGATCACTAAGTACTGATTCAGATCCCTGTGCATGATCCTACTCCAATTATCTGCAGAAATTTTCTTGAATTGCTTCACAATATTAGGTTGCAATTCTTGAGAAGCTTGAAATATTCCTATAGCAGAGGCAGTCTTGATACTGACCAGTCTGCTCATTCAGAGGCATAGAACAAGAATACATTAATATGGAGAATCCATTTTATGCAAAACTAATTTGTAGTGTTGGGATGAGGCATATGAAATATAATTCCACTAATTTTAAGGAAAATTTGCTTCTAGAATGGTGTATCAAGCATAACATAAGCAATTGAAGCTTGTGCTGGATCCAACACCGAGCTTGTCCTTATTCCTGCTACCCTATCTAGTCTTTTACAATGGTATTTTACTGTCTTACATCATTAATTTGGTTTTAGGCTGCTGCTACTGACTGCTTGATTCTGCTAGTTAAATTAAGCTATATGGTTTATCATCTTCTTCTGCATACATTCTTCCCATTTTATGCAACACAAAGTTGCAGTATTGGCAGAAGGCAAATGTAATTTGACTCGATGATAGGGAAGATGTGCTTCATCAACAAGTCAATCAATGTATGCACGTAATACCACACTTTCTATTTCATCAAAGGATAAAAGAAAGATCAAGTCAAAGCTTCTAGCTTCTGGGTTCTAGATATACTTTTTTCTAATTACAATATCAGTATATGCACATATCAGAGTGTTTAATTATATCCTCTGTTCCATGTATTGCACTTCTGCTCAACACATGGTAATATCATTTACTCGATCTTTGTTTTCTACTGTTTGTCACAGCATGTACTGATGATGATGGTGAAATATGTAAATAGCCAAGTTGTTCAGGTACAAATGTAAAGCATGAAATGGTGGAGCTAAAATTGAAGCTGAAACCAACAATGCTGTGGCTGCCATGCCTGATGCTCTTCCCCATGGTCTTCACTTGGAAGAAGGCATCAAAGATGATCCTGACATGGAGATCAAGGTAATGGAGGACCAGGATCAGTAGCTTCCTTGTGAAGAAAAAGGGTAGCTAATTCATACATGCACAGGTGAACAGTGGATCAAGTTACTTTTTTTTTTTTCTTCATTGCCCTCAGGATGATTCACAAAATATATGCATAAGAAGCAGGATCAGATGATGCAAACCCAACAACAATGGGATTGTAGTGGTTTGATCTCCAAAAGATGGTAAGATACACAAAAATATTTCAAATGACCTTTTGGATGCTTCCAGGAACCAAGCATCTCACTTTACAAGTGGGATTGATTCACCAACAAAATCCAGAAGACATGAGGTCATTAGAGAAGAACAAGAAGATTAATCAACTTGACAACATACTTAAAAGCATACATAAATTGTCCTGATAGTCAAGGACATCCTTGGTGGAGGCAAAGATAAGCAGTAGGTCCTAGTAAACCAGTAGATGACAAAAGTGGATGTCCCAGAGAGTTGGAAGGTGGACTGGTGATGCCAAGAGGAACTTATAGCACTTCTGCTTTGGCCTAAAGTGATGTTACCAACCTAATAAAGTCTTCAAGGGAATTGATTTAGGGAAAGTGAGCATCATCCTAGGTGTCAATTATGTTTATTGCTGAAAGTTGGTCAGAGTTGGACTAAGACATGGACTAGCGGCAAGTTGTTCCTAGGACCTAACAAAATGATGATTTTAAAATAAAAATAAACTTAGTTTTACTCTAGTCAACACTTAAATTTACCTAAACTATTGGCTCTTTTCTTTATGGGCTTAATCATTTACCTGATTGGCATAAACAGCAACAGGATACAAATTATGACCTCTTGCTTTCAATTTTGATCAAGTATTCCTTCCTGTCCTCTGATAATAAATCCTGATTCAGTACCATTCAGAAATCCACCAACACCATGACAAGAATGGTGGAACCATTAAAGTTTGATGGTTGCCATTAAGATGGTTGGTAAAGGCAGGCATGTAACCCTACACGAGAGTTGGTTTGTTCGAAAAGTTTCTGTCATGCTTTTATGGAGCTAAGGACAATTGAATCTTCTATCATTGAACTTGAAAAATCACGATATTTCATGGATTTGCAAATGACCAAATGCAAGAGTGTGCAACTGCAAACATACATGAATTCATGCAGCAAATGATCTACGTTTAATCAGAGAATGATGTTAAACGATGATAACAAGCCATAATAATGGATACTGCTTGAAAACAATATCCCTAATCAAACAAAAAGCAATAAGATCTCTTTTGCCGTTAATAATGAGGCTTTCTCATGTCTTCCTTGTCTCCTCATTACTAATCATAACTGGGTTACCTTGTACAGGTCTTGTTTATGTAGGGATAAATTTCCTTTGTATATGTCTATAATACCAGGATTCCTTACTCTGACAATGATAAGATTTCGACCAGTAGTAGACTCAAGCAACCAATTCTGTAATGGAATCTTATCCAAAGATCAAGCACAGCTAATAAAGTTATGAAGTCCTTTTCCCTCTTGGTAACAAAGACAAGTTCTAGCTCTGGTTGGTTCTCTCTGGTAGCATTATGGCACGAGAAATTTGTACACTTTGTCATCCAAGTACAATGTCCACAAGGAACTCAAGCTCGTCAAATTTTGATTTCTTACCATGCTCCATCTTTACAATTTTTGATTGAATTCTCTTGGGTTCCTATTGGGCTTCATTCTTCACAAACTTCAAGTCGATCAAAATCCTCAGACTCACCTAGATTTGAGGATCGCAAGTTCATCCATAAACTTTCACTTCAATTTTCTTCTCCAATAAATTCATTTTCACTACTTGCGAACATTGATATATAAGATTGGTAGTAGTGGAACAGTGGTCAAGATTCAAGTGGTATTTGCCCACATACTCCACATGGTTGGATCCAATAGAAAGAAGTGACAAGAGACCAACAAGTAGGACCAGTCAAAAAGTAGGCTTAATATGCCCAAAAAGCCATAGACCACTAAATGTGGGAAACTAGAGTACTACCGCAAGATGGAGCCAGGGAAATATTAGAGCTTTTCTTCTATTTGTTTCTTATCATTATTATATATATGCACATTACAGGGTTAAAGAAAAGTAACCAGCTTGTTTAACCAGTCAAACAATTTTAGTGTTTTAAGAATAGGTTTATTTTTAGATAAGGTAAAACTATTTGGTGTCCTGAAATAATTCTTCCCTATCCTTTTAACAAAAAAGATGTAGAATTGATTATCCAGATTAAGAAAATCTAATCTGAAACAAAGTATTTTTCGCTCCAAAAACAAAGTAGCTGCAATCTTATGGGATTTCATATCTTGATTTGTCATTTCTTAAATTAAAAATTTTAACTAAAGGAATGTACCTTTTTTCTTTATCCTGGTCTCTTTTTTTCACTTTCAGGTAACTGTATATATTTGTAAAGACTAAAGACAAATGGTGGCTGAGGATTAGAACCCTCATTGACCTTTGCCACATGTCATACAGACGCTGATAAGCTAAACAATGAAGCTTGACTGATTACCTACTTTGGCCTAACAGCAACTAACATTCAACTTTCCAACTGAAGTTTAATTCAACACTCTTTGGTGAGTCATTGCAACCCACAAAAGAGATGGGTGCGGCCAAGATGTTTGGAAAAGCAAGTCATGCTTTCAGTGTGAGTTACAAAACTGTTTTGTCACACTTTTCATGGATTGCTCCAGAAGCAATACAACTTGTGTTCTCATCAGATTGCGAAAACAACCAATCCAAAAAGTGAGTTATTCCAACAAGCATGAGTATATAATATATATAGCACCAGCCCGTTCTAATTAATCCACATAAGACCAGGCCAACCTATGTGCATTAATATGCTAAACTTGACCACCCTTTGATCTTTTGCCAACAGAATTAGCACCTTACTTACTTGCATTTACATGAAAAGATCTATCACAAAAGTTTACTCCCCTCCATAGGGATGTCAGTTGTAAATCCTCTACAGAGAATCTGATTCTAAATGCCCATCTTTCTCAAATATTGATCTAAGATTTAATCCCAGACACTCTTAATGCAGAGAATTGCATTGACCACTTGCATAAACTGCAAGCTGAATGCCAAAAGCAAACCACAGTCATGTTATTCCAATTTAAAGTATTATGAGAAGAGTGGATTTTTTTTTTTTTGTATCTGACACATTCATTTCACTCAAATCCAGCAAAATAAATTAAAAAAATAAATAACTTTGAGTTAGGGTTTAGATTACCCTCTGTTTATGCACTGCTATATGATTTTTTTTTTTTTTTTTTTGTGGGTTGTAATGAGGAGGGCACCCCCTCCACCTGCTCCAACCTCCAAACTTCCAAGTACATAAACAGCTCTACATGGTAACTTGAGTCAGAAGACCAGTATGTAGGTCCCAAACACTGCCCTACTACAATTACTACTCCCACTAAAACATACCAAACTGCATGTGCCTATCTTGATGAACAATGCATGCCCTTTACTCTCCTTGTTCCCCTCTCACTTTACTCCTATAAGTTGTACTCTATCAAAAGGGCTTCACTGAGGAACTTTCTAATTGGCTCCTTATTCCTTTCTTTGATAGATTTTCTTAAACAAAATTCCACCACCCAAATACAATGGTGGAGAAGGAGTTGCCTTTCTCATTCAGAACTGGAAGAGGGAATCAAAGGGCTGAAAAAAAAAATCTATCTTTCTGGGTTTTTCTACTAAAGAAAACCATTTTTTAACTACAATCAGCATTTAAAAGGGGAGACAGATCCCAGATGCTTCACCAAAAGTGACTTTTTATCATTCTTTGGTTTGAATTCTACACTATTATACAACCCTAAGGCACCATACTACAAACACATGGCGGTCTAGTCCACCGCCCAGTCCAAACCCTAAGCAGAGAAATTGCATCTTGTTTACTTGACAAGTTGCAGAAAAGGAGAGGAGGACTCAGGGGAGGAACCTATTGGCATCGCCGTCCTCTCGAGCCTTGGCCACTTCCTCAGCTGCCGCTGTGGCGGCGACCGCAGCAGCGTCGCTGGAGCTGGCACCGCACCTCTGGCACCGCGACGGCTGGGCGGCGTCGGCGGCGACGACAAGGACGCGGCGGCAGGAGGGGCAGCTCGAGTGGGACACGAGCCACGTGTCGACGCACCCGACGTGAAATCCGTGCCCGCACTGTGGCAGGATGCGGATCTCGTCCCCCTCCGCGAACTCCGCCAGGCAGATGGGGCACTCAGCGAGCCTCCCGCCCGCCGCTGTGGCGGCGCCGTAAGACACCTTGGGCAGCGCCCTGAGCGCCTTCTTCTTGAGCCCCTTGCTCGGCGGCGCGGGACGTGCCCCGGGGGAGGCCCGCCGGAGCCAGGCGCAGCGCGCCACGAGGGCGAGCCCGACGACGCAGATCAGGGCGCAGAGCAGGGCCGCCAGTATCACCACCACGTCGGAGTCCACCGACAACGGCTCCGGAGGCTCCGAAACGGGAAGCAAGCCGGAGCTCGTCTGCAAGATTCTCGCCGATGGAGGCATTGCCTTGTCGACCACAGAGAGAGAGAGAGAGAGAGGGTGGGGAGGGGAGGGAAGACTCGGAATCAGCAATCTTAGACGCCCTTGCACATCCATATATAACACACAGACTAAAACTACTTGACGGAAAAGCCCCTCGATCTTTAACGAAATTACCAACATGTACAAACACAGCTTTGACGTAAAAGACCCTAAATTTTTGCTATAATTACATACATATAAGAATTCGTGCTTATGAATAATTATTAACATTGTTTCATCATAGATAGTTCAACGGTCTAAAGACCAGCAGATCCGAAGAGAATTATTGACTCCCATGATGATGATGAGGCGAACTAACGTGGATAAAAGATTGTTCTTTGGAAGTGTAATGTGGGGCCGGCGACATGATGGCGGAGTTCATGTGCCGCCAAGGCGGGTAAAGGCTCGGGTTGTGGACGGCGGCGTTGCCGGTGGCATGATTTGGTTGGGCCAGAGTAACGTGGTTAAGTGCCATGGATTTTAGTGCCTCGTGCTGCCTTGTTCCAATCCGTATCTACAATGCATTGCCGGGTTGATGATATATATGACTCTACCAAATGAGTTGCATGTGACGACAACTCGATAGAGATTGATTATACTCTCCTTGCATTTTGGTTTATGTGGTACTTGAAAATTTTAGGTATCAGTCCTGTCATCTCGAGATCGATCGGCACCGTTCTGAAAGATAAAGGAAAACGAAGTAGAATTTTACTGCAAACGGAAGTCAGCATCATTCGTAGCAGACGTAATTTGAATGAGAAAGCCCCCGGAGATGCTCATTCCGAAGCTCCTGCAAGATTTATATAGCCATTTGGTGACTGAACTTTGGAGACGAATAAGAACCAGGATGCATGTGCCATGCAAAACTCACCGCTACAAAAAAGAAAAGAAGAAAAATGAGTGAAGGACAAACGAGAGATCAAAAGCTACTCCGGATACTCGTACCTTCGGAAGCAACGGAACATGAGACACAGCTCGCCTCTTCTTCTGCTTGGGTCCAAAACCTGGAGATCCAAGAGACACAAAGCTCCAAAGAGAGTAAAGGAGGGCCATCTGCTTTCCTTCTCGGAGATGATTCGAGGGCGATGCGATCACATGCTCTCTGGTGCGGGGAGAGCAGTAGATGCCAAAGGAAAAGTGGGTGTTTCCGACGCACTTGCGCGTTGCCACATACGGGATGAAGCGAGGGCGGTAGAGTGAGCAGGACGGTGTTCATCATGTTCTCCGCGAATCTCTTTTCCGTGACTCCTTTTTTTTTTTTCTTTCGTTGTTGGCGAATGATACTCTCGGAGAAGCTCCAACTATTAAGACCATCTCCCTCTCTCTTTCTTCTCCCGTGGCAAGCAGGCCTTCGCTTTCACTAACACTGTCATCATTTCTCCTGCCCTGTCCTACCGGGCATCCTTTTTCTGCATGCGCCTCCACCTCAACATGAGATTGGCAGACAATATAAGAGGATTGGATTCAGAATTATATCTTCATTGGACCAGGCTAACACCACCATCTTTTTCGTATACTGTACCTACACAGGTAGTTGATCCAACTGGAACAGGGTTTTCGCACCACTCTTGATAGGATTTTTTTGTCTGTCCCAGGAACTGCTACACTGCGACCAGCATCAGAGGAGAAATTATGCAGCGATAGTGTCACAGCTGCAACCGAAACTTCTTCTTGTGATGACATCGAGTCCCGCACTACTGCACTTTACTCGACGAGAGGTAAATAAATGGCAAAGGATGATTCGGTCAGAGAAGCAAGAGGTGGCAATGGAGCGTTGAGTTCCTCCTGAATCTGAGTGCCACATCTTCTCTTCTTTCTTGGAACATTGGTTACAGAACACCCAAGTGTTTCTTACCTCCGTAGTAGACGAGTAGGATCAACGGTGACTTTCAACATGCAAATGATACCTCACCAACTCCACTGTGCATCAGTTTGCAATCCTGTCCTTTCGTTTGCCATCTTTTTCACAACAAATCATTTCAGTCAGGAGAAGTTTCTCAGTGGCATATCAGCCTGTTCTGAATTGATCACTTCAAAATTGCTCCTCTTTTTGTCACACAGCTTTATGAGCACTCAAAATCTGAAGCTCGTTGTGAGGCTGAGTGCCACTCGAGTGAACAATGATGGCTAAATTGAGCTGATAAATTGGGTCCCTTTCCACTATGATCATACAGTGCACATTTCTTTTGATGATTGTTTCTTCTAGACAACCAATCAAGGCTTAAATTGGAATACTTACGCTTGGATTGGATTGGATATAAACAAGATAATATTAAAACCTGATAAGAAGATTTTCCACCACCAAAAATGCATGAAAAGAGGCTAATCAGTACCTGAAGCCAATGGAGAACTTCACAGCCTCACTCTCCATTTCTAAAGGGAAAAGACGGATGCCCCTCACCTGCAAGGTTGTCATGTGAAGAAGACCACCATGTTCATCAAAGTATCTTTTTTTCTGCGAGGAGTCAACAGGAGATGGTGGATAGATATTTTGAGGTACCCATCCATCCACCCAGGGATTCCCATGCCTGTCAAAACATCAGAGGATCACCAATCTTTCACATGATGGTGGTCTCTGTGAGCCACATTACTGACCCTCATGGATGGGCCAGAATGCCATGACATGGGTGCTTAATCTATCGGAAAGAGATGTGACAGAGGATTCCAAGGGTCAACCTGATAAGCTCCACCGCCATCAATTGGCTGAACCAGAGGAGTCAAAAGGGGTGAAATAAACCCTGACAAAAAACCAGGAGGAATTTACATGCATGGGAAGGAGTGCAGTAAACGAGGCATTCCGGTGCCCCTCATAAGACAACTTAAAATGGGAAATAATGTCAAAAACCACTTCAGGATGAATTTATATGAATGGAGAGGTTAGCTGCAAAAGATATTATTGAGATACATGATCACAAAAAATAAGCTAATCTGATAAGCATGCTCCTGATCAGTGATACCTGCTCGAGTTTCAATCAGTGCATATGTGACCGGATAATCGCTCAAGCTAATTTCCATAAAAGCATTAATTCCACATTAGTTTCAGTCACAAAACTAAAGGGACAAACAGGGTTACTTGACTGACCTGCTTCGTTGGAAGTAATCTTTCTTTCCTGCACCAGCACCTTGAGGTTAATGCACAGTAGAATAAATCACTTAAAGAGGGGTTAGAGCCAGATTACCCGCAGCCATAACATCTACACACATGACATTCATGTTCAAGAAAAAGGTGCTGTCTTGTCCCTGGATGTCCTAATATGACCTCAGATGATGTGGTTCGGTAAACTTAAATACCAACATGATAGAATAACATTTTTGGGCTCATGCAAGATTTGACATCAAAATCTTAAAGAAAAATCTCATATGATGAGATGATGGTTTGTTCTAGATCTCATCGAGGAACTCCAAAAGATCGTCGACCTCTTGCCTCAAGGCCGCTAATTTCTGCTGCTGTGATGCAACGCGGTTCTCTATTTCTCGCCCACCAAGTTTCTTCTCAAAACAATCAACCACCGTGGAATGTCTCAGAAACATCTTCTCTTGCATATCTTTCTCCTTTGCAACCAGCTCCTCTACCTAAATACAAAAACATAGTCATTTTGAACAACAATGAGAAAAAAAATCCAAGAAGAATGAAAACATGGATTACAGCCAATGAAAGAATGTAAAATTCATCAGTAATGCTATTACTCAAATTATCCATGCGTACCTTTTCACACAAAACTCCAAGGCACTTTAGGATGAACACAGACCAATAAGACCACCGGCATATTTACAGGCTTCAAAAGTTTGTGGAAGCGACCAATACTAATATTTTTATGATGGCAACAATAGGAAGGTCCGCCACTGCTAATGACTTCAAAGAGACCTTAAACTAGCACCAAGCTAGTATGCCCCATGTGTTCCTACCTAAGGAATCCTATCTCTGGATTCAGACATTATGAACCTCAGCCAAAAACCAGGTCTAGACACGGTTCAAATGACAGAGGTGACAACCAACAGGGGAATCAGATCCAAGTATATATTCAGTTTGCAGAACTCTTTTCACCGAGTATTTTTTCTTCTATTTTTATTAAGGAATTCTTTGTAACTATATCCCACTTCTGACCATGGATTGCACATGCCATCTGTCCTGGTCATGCAATGCCAGTAGGTCAAAATGGAGAATGGCATCATACTAATTCCATCGGGTGGCATGATTAATAACCAGAAGACCTCCATTCAACAATAAAACCTTGATATTATTAACTCTGACAGCTCTGATAGCTCAGACAAGTAAACAGGTTTAGTCAGATTTGACTGAAACATATCCAGTTCCTCAAAATTAATTGTCCGGAATCCAGATGCCAGTTTGGCACGCGAGTTATTTTCAAACCAGGATTAAAATGAACTAGGATTTGGTTATACAGAATTAGGTTACAATAAGTCCTGATGCTGTTAACTTTCCTAAGATCCCATATGAGATTAATCTTCATACAAAGAGTATAAACACCACAAACCTAGCAGTGATTAGCATAGGCTTGATTGTAGAGTAGCTAACTTTATAATTGTGCTGACCACATAATTTTGTCTAATACATTTCATAGGAATAGTTGGGACTTAGGCTTTGTTGTTGTTATATATTTCATGGGAAGGTTTACTTCATTTATTCATTAAAGTAAAAAAAATTTACAGCATGCTAATAAACAATCAAGGAACATAAGCATGGCTATATAAAAAAAAGATTAACCTTTGGCCATATATGGGAAGCCTGAGGAGAATGGTGAAGAAACGTCACCAATGGCTTCAACTCCTTGACCAATTCTTTGAGTTGTGCATCAGCTGTCTTACGAGCTATTTTACATGATTGGACATCTCCTGTCCTCGAGAGATCTCGTAGGGAAGCATCCAGCTTGTCATGGACTGCTAAACATTGATTGATGATATTCTGGATCTGCTGAACTGTTGCTTGCACCTATGATCAGATCAACAAGGTTCAATTTTAGACTTCAAACTTCCGCAACATGATAGAAAATATCATTAGTCTTTCAATTGGGTAGAAAGAGCACATAAAATATATGTACACCTATATAATTGTCAAAGTAAATAATACAAGACAATTTGACAAAAAACATAAAAAGCATTCAAAGGTAGCAAGTAAAAGTTATCCTTGTTTGGTGTGTACATGATAGACCCAAAAGTCGTCTGAAAATAAAAGTAGACAAAAAACTGTTTGGTAGTATCACAGAAGTTCAGTATGAAAGAACACAAGAAAGTATGGAAAGCATGTATCTGTCATTATTGACCCCTAAAAACATTCGATGAAGCATATACAATCCATTTAACTCCATATACATCATATCTCAGTTCATCAATCTTAATGTAAATAAGCAAAAAAACAAAATAGTTGTAGACACCTTTTCGTATATAATACTAATCCTTTCCTCAGTCAATGTGTAGGGCTTAGCTCAAACTAGATTAATTATCTTAATAGCCTACTAAATCCAAACATCGCCAACAAGTTAATAGCAAGATGCAAATGCCCAACATCTCAACCACAAGTTCACTAATATTAAAACAAACAAAACCTTCAATCTTCGACTGACATGGCTGCTATTTCCTTCGAGAAGTGCCATTACTCCTTCCTGAGCCCACATTTTTCAAAATATCAACAACCAATTTCACTTTTGGACACACCATTTAAATGATTGCCTCAAGTTGATGAATCAATGGCTGGATGCTCTCTTCATATAAAACCTTAATTAGTTAAGCCACAAAAGAATATAAATCCTCCTACCAAAATTTGATAAATGAGAATATTTTTCTGAAAACCAATTAGCAACTTAAGATAGGAGACCTTATACTATTTCAAGAAAGTAAAGTGTTTGTAATTAGTAGATCGTTCATCCATTACAACAAATTGATAGTATGCATAAAACCTAATAGTAGAAGCTATGCCTTCTGGTTTAAACCAAAAAAGAAGATTCTATCAATTTAGCTTCTCTAGTTGGAAGATACAGAAAACAAAATTTTTGTACCTCCTCTAATTGAATTTTTGCAAGATACGAAGCAGAAGACTTTGAGATTGACATATCGGTGTGCATGTAAACAATGCAAGCAACAAAAAGGAGGAAGAAGCCAGAAATCAGCATCATTGGCTCCCCAAGCAACGAGAGGTTGTTGAAATGGTAGTACACCTAAAAACACTTGAAATCAGTAAATCCAATCTTTTGTTCATTTAATGAAAAAAATACAAGTAACAAGATGAGAACAAAATGAAAATTCATGTATTAAACATCACTTTAAAATAGCCTGCATAATTCTTGTATCAACAATGTTTCAAATAGAAATAAGAATCAAGAACTAAATGTACTGCCATGATATCTGCCTTGCTACAGACAGGTAAATCTTTTATTACATGTAAGAGGCTACTTGCAAGAATTCCAATGAGCTCAATCTCCGAAAGGATAAGGGACATTGTTCCTTTAATCTAATATTAATTAGACTTAGACAATCATAACAAGATGAAATTTCTTAAAACCAAAGCTAAATTCTAACTACAAGACTAACTTCTGCCATCAAAGGAGATTATATCTGACTTGTAATTGCTTTACGAAAAATATAGAATTGTATTTCTGAAAAGCAAAGAATCAACAACAAAAATGTAAAAGAAAGATCCTAATATACTAAGTAGATATGAATGGTCATGTTAGCTATTCAGTTATATAATAATCAGAAGTACACTGGATCTTTTTCATTTAAAGCAAAAAACAACATTGCACATCTCAAATGTTGAATAATAAAATGTTCTTTGCCATCTCAAGGTACAAAAAGCTACTTTTTCTTCTAATAGTATCAACAAATCATAAGACTGCTCTGATCTCATATTTGGTTCAACAATATCTTGCTCTTAGCAAATACACCAATTGTGACTGAGATATAGTAAAAATAATTATCAATGGTATATTGTAGTTAACACAAAGAAAAAACATATGAGTTTACATGTGGCTCTGTCCTTTTTAGGCTTAAATATCAATGCACATGCCATTTCTATGCTGAATATAACAATAGGTGGGTTGAAAAAAGAGAATCAACAGAACTAACCTCCAGTGGTTCATAGGACTGCTCAGATCTTATATTTGGTTCCACAATATCTTGCTCATTAGCAAATACACAAATTTTGACTGAGATATAGTAAAAATAATTATCGTTGGTAGACTGTAGTTAATACAAAGAATTTTAATTTCAAATGACTGAGAAGAAATGGGGCGATGTCGCTCTTTATTTATTTATTTATTTATTTATTTATTATTATTATTATTATTATTATTATTATTATTATTATTATTATTAGCATATCATTCGGTATGCTCATACCGTACTGTACCGAGCTAAATTCAAAATGCTGGTACGGTTGAAATTACGAACGCATGTTAATACATGGAAAAACTTGAGTTCACATATGTCTCTCTGTCCATTTAGCGCTTAAATCTCAATGCACATGCCATTCGTATGTTAAATATAGGTAGGTTGAGAAAAGTAGCAACAGAAGTAACCACAAGTAGTTAAGTGCCAAATTTTGAGGCATGGGTAAGCAATATGAAATCAACTCAAAAACAGTTGAAAAACTGTACTTTTCCATAATAAAATGCAGAAAGTGTTTGGAGATTTTTGCTTCTAGTGAGATCTACATATTAAACATGATGATCTAAAATAAACTTTATCAGAAAAAGTGTGTTTTCATTAAAAAAGTAAGAAGTACTCTTCAAACGAACCATATTTTGATTTACAAAGGGGTTCTTTTTGGTTTATCAAATCGACAAACTAAATACCCCTACAGAGACAACTCAATCAAGTGATGATCATGGAGAATTGTTGTCAACTGTTAGCACCATAAAGCAATGGAAATTTCTAGAATGTCACATAACAAAAGAAGCTATAACTATATCAACTTCTAACAAATTTAAAGGCATACCTGAAAATAGAGATTATGCTCCGGAACAACATTACTCTTTTCTAGGACTAATACAGGCCTTCCAACAATATCTAGATGGGAATATTTTATCTGAAAAAGAGAAATCATTTTCAGTATCATATCCATAAGCTGGCTGATGTCAATAGCATCTAAAAAGTTTTTAAATGCTCAAATATTAAGAGTTACCTCTTCTCCTTGTTTCGTAGGAAAAGGAACAGAAGCAGAAATTCCATTTGAACCTTCAGGGAGAACAACCTGCAGTGAGCATTTTCATTTTTCATCAGAGAACAAGAGATGATTTGAGATCACAAAAGAATACTTAAAAATCCTCATAGACAAAATATTACATAACTCATCAAGATCTCAGTGATACAATTCAGCTAAAACAGTGCTTTAATCATAACAACAATGTTATATATTCAAAAAAAATGTTGGTTTACTAAGGTCAATTTTGAAAGGCTTCATACAGAGAAGGCAAGAGAAGGGGTACCATGTACGAATCAGAATTTGAACCTTGTTCAACTGCTTGGACAAGGCATCTGACAGAAGGAAAGAAGTTTACTAACAGTATCCTGCCTAAAAGGTTTAGCTCTGTTCTTGAGTATCTAAACCATTTAGTATCTTTTTTATTATGTTAAGAGGGCTACCTAAATAACCACTCTGGATATGTTACTTGGATTCCTTTAAAGAATATTATAGCTGAGCCCTCAAATATCTACCAAATTATCCACAAGCATAGAAATTATATGCCGACTCAATCCTAAAGTTAATCCAGACTCTCGAATCAAACACGGACCTAAACTTGATTCAATCAGCATCCAAACTAAAATTGTCTAACATTTTTTTCTGTCAATTAATCCCATCCCTGAAATCATCAACTTACTGAGCAGAAATATCAGCTTTATGACAAATGAATGATGTATTCTCATAAACAAAAGTCTGATTAGTTGATTGCAACCTTCAAAGAACTTTGATCTTTTTTTGCCAAAATGAACCATAAGAATTTTGAAATTATTATTAATTAAACAATGAGTTTTTGTGAAGATATAAATGAATTTATATCCAATTATCTATAAACAACATATTCATTGATCGACCTCCTTTGATGTCATATCGTATTCAATTTTCTCACCCCATGTGCATGCCCATGCTTAATTAACATTTCATACAAACTATTTTGCTAAAATCAAGATATAAACACTGAATCTTATACATAAATAAAACTTTGGGATTCATTTGTGTAAAAAAAGAAGATTGAATACACGATGCAAAACATCTTCCCCTTCTATCGTACTGATACTTGTGACAGAGAAATTATACAGCATAAATGCCAAACAAACCTTTTAAAGTAAATGATTTAAAAACATAAAGTTAATCATCTAGTAATTTAGTTACCAAGTGACAGTGACTGTTCTAAAGAGAGAAGCCTTCTGTCAATACAAATTGAAGGAAATAAATAGTGTACAGGTTACATGAAAATATCAAATAGAACAATGTTAACTTGCCTTCACAATAAGATTGTCAACAATGACCTCATCCATGGGACTACCAAATGTGATATTAAGCATCCGCTTTCCATCCACCTTGAATAGAAAATCTTGTAATGGTAAACCATAGCCAATTGTAAAAGATGTCTTCCACCCACCAAATATTGGGAATCTAGGTTCTATTTCAAGTTGTGTCTGCAGAGAAAAAACATCTAATGTGAACTTCAGACTGACACTACCAGTTAAATTCAAAGCTATACAGTGACCTGCAAATGATAATTCTGTTGAACCAACAATATAGCAAGTACCTTTCTGGAATCACCCCAGAAATGTGATGTTGAAATATTTCCAATTTCATCTCTATAGTATATAGAGTGAGCCCTTGGTGGCAATCTAAAAATTAGATGACTAAATGATGAAGCCCCCCTAACGGATGATCTGGCTTGATAATCAAGCCTGCAAACAACGAAAATGAGTAAGAAACAGATTCCAAGAAAAGCTCCCAAAAATAGAAAGCATAACAAATAAATGAACGAAAAAATAACCTAGAGAAACCGCCTTTTGTCTTGGCACCTCCATGAACAAGGTTGTAGTGCTCTGTAATTTGAACATTACCCCAGTGAGAAATCTCAATCTCACGCACTAGTTCATGTGCCACTGCAAAAGGATAGTTATTTTCAAAATGAACAATTACAGGTGAGTAGGAGAAGGCCGGAAGGTTTTCGAACGGGCCATACGTAATTTCTGAGTCAACAAGCTTTGCATTTGGAAATTTTGTATAAGACTCGACTCTTCCACCAGGCAATCTTATACCAAGAGTCTGGACCTTTACTGTGTAAGGAGACAAATAGTAAGCACTATCCTGATATACAACAAGCTGTCCATCAGCTTGAGTAATCTCCTCGGGAAATGGTTGTAGAGAATGAGCAAATACGGCCAAAACATCCAAACTCACAGTTCCTCCCTTCTCCAAACCTTTAGGTAAAGATACGGAGTAAAAGGTCAATTCTGGGGGCATCCCCTCTGGCTCAACAACTGCAGTAGGAAGGCTAACACTAGAAGCTTTCACTTTTCCTCTCCCTTCATTATATAACGTTTTTATTGCTGCCAAGTTCTTTGCTTGCATGTTTGGAAAAGCCAGCAAAACTTCAGATACAACTTTACTGCCAACATTCTCTACCTAGACAATGGGGAAAAAATAAGTTTACATGACCAAATTGATATTATTAAGTAAACCTCTGAACTAAGCAGAAAAAGCAAGTCTATTTCTGCCACCAGCACTAAAAAGATCAATTCAGAATATGAAGTAATGATTGACTAGTTGAAATACATAAAATATTTTTGACCAGTCAAATGTTTGGAAATGGTTCTCAGAATCTGAGACAATAACTTATCTCAAATGGGAGACTTGAGTCATAGTAAAATGATATGGCTCAACTAGACATATCTTGTTGGTATAGTGAAGATGCTTTTGCACTTGCAATAAATGTATTAAAATAAATGAGACCACTGACAAAATGATATGGCTCAACTAGATAATTATCTTGTTGGTACAGTGAAGATGCTTTTGCACTTGCAGTAAATGTATTAAAATAAATGAGACCACTGACAGGCCCTCAATCCTCCTTCAAAACCATAATGGAGGAGAAACACCGGAGACTAAAGGAGATGCCCTCAGGTGGAAGTGACATGACACCATTTTTTTAATTTCTTTCTTTCTCTCTCTCTCTCTCTCTCTCTCTCTCCCCCCTTTTGCCTATGATTGTGTTATTTAGCATGCTTGTGTAATGTAATGCTCATTTTATAACTACAGTCATCCAAATAGATGCCACGTAGACCTCTAAAAGCTGATACCTTGTGCAGCCATTGTAGAAGTAAAAAACATTCAACCTGTTGTCGGACTAGAAAAGGCCTCAAACTATGTCGCCTTGTTTCTCAGTTCACTTTGATTTCACAGGTTATTAAGAACAAGATTAAAGGGGATACCATCTCTTTAGTTGATTTTTCTTTATCAGAATACTTTGAAAGAATATGCAAACAGCAAAATCATAATTACTAAAATACTTAAAGATAAGCTTAAGTAAGATATTTTTTATGAAAGACAAGTATTAATTAGCTCATGTCATGGCAATGAAGCTCAATTTCAGTTATATTTTCTCTCAACATACATATGCATGCATAACACAAACTAACAAAAAGATAAAAAAAATTAATAGTCACTAACCACATATCTCATGTACAGAAGAAAAAAATACATGAAATGATCTATGATCACAGAGCTCAGAAAGCAGAAAAAAAATGTGTAAAAAAAGTAATGAGTAACCCATTAGTGCCCTAAAGATTATGAAAAATATAATAGAGCAGATTACCTTCATTGAGAATAGGGCCCGTACAATGTGAGAAGACAAATCAACCTGTTAGCAATATATGCATCATGGTTAGTGAACCACGATAACCATAGCAAACAACATATCAACATCAAGATCAGTGAATATCAAAATTCCAAAGCATGTTTTCAACAAGGTAGCATCAATCTATACAGGTTGATGGATATAAAAAACATAGTAGCTCACTAAATCACACAGTCAAATCTCTAAAACAATATGATCATGAAAACTACAAATCTTTTTAGTTCAAAAGATCCTAGCCTTCAGTAAAGTGTCATATATTTCATCACCTTCCTTACACCTCTTGCTTGAATTTTCACTTTGTGGTTCATATGACTACAACATCAAGAATGAAATTGCAGTCCAATACGCGTAGTAGCATTTAGTCCACCCATGATTAACTAATTAGGATATACCCAATAAAAAAAATCATCTGCCATATCTAGTATCAGGTTGTTTACAATGTATGTTGCATTGTTTCACACTTTCACATTCAATCAACAATCATAGGCATTCTGATCCATTTGTGTTACTGCATATGACATCACACGTAGAATATATCAATTTGGGACCTGGCAGCTTGTGTTGTGCACAGAAGATAACTTAGAATGCAGCAGAATTAAGGGTGTCTTTTTAACTTAGAATGTAATAATATATATATAATCAATGACACTTCAAATTGCTAGTGATATTGCCCTTGCAAAACATAATTGCAAAAGAGTAACTAGTTGACTAGAAATAAATTAAAATCAATCAATCTTACCAAGTGGCCTCGAATGACTGTTCCCAGATCTTGATATTTTCGCTCAATCAGATCCCAATTGATCATCTTTCATTTTGAAAGACTTGGCCCAGATGGTATGACTCAGCTCACATGGACAGGTCTTAATCCCCAATACTAAGACTACTCCTAGTTTGTAAGTACTGTAATCAATCCTAAACCTGTGAATCCCAGCAAGCTCAGCTTGGTTTTTGTGTCCATTAAAATCACTTGCAAAATTCTAGTGGGGGAAAAAACCAAAAGATGAGAACATAGTGATATAGTTCTGGTACCCCAAAAATTTTTGTGACCTCCAATCAAGTAAATATTTTGTTAATTACTGAGCATTATATTCACCTAAAACTGGGTTGTCATCATAGCTGGCTGCTGCATATATCATGATTCTGGCAGAGTTAAGTTATTGTACTCAAACTAGTGGCTCAAAGCTTTTAGACTTCGGCAAATAGGCTATTACAGAAAATGATTAAACAGTTTATTATGGAGAAATAACTATCATCAGCATGATTTCCTGTTCTCTGACAACTGCATTAGAGCATCAGTTAACCACCATTGCAACAAACCGTTTTGGAGGAGGAATCTTTAAGTCAAAAATGGAGGATCATTCTGATTTCATCCACATCTACCAACAAGAGCAAGCAAACTTAGAGGCTCGGAGCGTTGACACTACAGCTCGAGTGCAAAAATAAACTACATATCCAACACCTGAATAACATAAACTTGGTGCGACAAAAACATAAGGGCTTCACAGGAGAATAGTTGCAGTATTCAAAAACCAGAAAATCTTTCATATCTCAATGACAGGACCCACTGCATAAATTCCACAATGCACGTGGAGACTCCACTTGTGGTGCATATTGAAGGATCTTTACACGATCTATGTTCCTAAAGCCCCAATACTTCCTACGAACTATTCCATCATTTTCTGACGAGGATCCAATTTCATGTAGCAGATCGAAACCCAAATACCAGATTTACCACATCGGACAAACCGATCGCACTCATACTACCCAAAAAAAAAGGGAGGACTTAGGATCACCCAAAACCCTAAAAACAGAGAGGACAGTAGATCTACACACCCGTCGATCGATTCTCGAGATCACGAGCTCGGAGTGCGTGGTGGACGACAGCACCGAGATCCAGAGAAGGAAGAAGGCGAAGCGGGACACCATCGCCATGGTGCTCTCTGGATCGAACCAGGCAGGAAAGACTGGAACAAGACTTAGGCCACCGCAAACATATAACGGAAGAACGTGATCGAGGGTTTTGTAAGGTTGACCGTAACGGACCCTTTCATGGGCCGAATTGGGCCCATCATGCGGCTCAATTTACATCTCGGTCTCTTTCTTAGTGTGATTATATGTAAAACAAAAAATATATATAACAATATTTTATTTTTCACCTTGATTGACTTCTGTTATTGGTGTTGAGTAAATGGAAATTAAAATACTACTTTCTTGTTCTTGCATTCTATAGAAAAATAGTGAAATATTTTATCCTGATTGGATTAGCTCTAATTGAGGTTAAAAATGTCAACATGTAATGATGTTAATCTAGGAGATTTTTATTCATAAATTTTTTACTATTTACAATCTTATTTTTTATTTTTTAAATATTTTTAAAATATCTTTATATAAGTTAACGTATATGTCATACTCTTCTTCCTCCTCCCCGATTCGATTGACAATGATCAAAGTGAACACGAGCAATAATCATAGAGAGGCAAACGATTGATGGAAGTAGCAATAGGTGATGGCCCGAGTTTGTTTGGGTGGTCGCTCGAGCTTGACTACCTCAACACCCCCTTGATGCTTGAGGCTTCTTTAAAAGGGCTATGGATGAGACAAAGGAGAGGAGTAAACGATTGGCATAGTGGATGTTTGTGATGTTTATGAAGAAGAAGTTGAGGAAGTTACAAATAAAGATAACGAAGGAAGTGTCTAACAAGAATTACCAATGCCAACAACAAGCGGAGAGACATTGTGTCATCAAAGAAGGTGACAAGCAATGTTGACAACGAGTAGAGAGGTAGCAAGCAATGTCACCTCTGACTACACATGTGATAAGCATCTAGAGACATCAAAGGGAGGCGACAAATTGTGTTTGTGACGATGATATTGATACCGAGCGAATGAAATAAAAGGTTATAGGGAAAAAAATTGTTAATAAATAATAAAAAAATATTTTATTATTTTTAAGGATTGTGAATAGTAAACTTCTTAATATATTCTAATTTGATATAATCATGACGATGGCCGTAAACCAGTTAACTATGTATATAATGTTTCCAGTAAGGCCAGTTTGTAGCTAATGCATCATTAATTACTGTTAACACAACGTAGATATGAAGAAAGTTACATTGTTTTTGTGTTACCAAACATAAACATTACAAACATTACATCTCTATGCACCTGTATTCTATTTAACATTTGCCATTGATTTGTTGGGTATGTTAGATTGATTTGTGTGGATGATGTTGGATGATTTATGTTTGTAAAAAAATAATTTGTGCAACCCTTTATATATGAGTAAAATTAATTAGAAAAATCATACGATACCATTTTCTCAATTTTCACGAAAGAATTGAAGTTAAAATATACGAGACATTACTCAATTATAATGTTTTTAAATAGCATTACCGTATATTTTCGTGGTATTAAACAAAACAATACAGCAACAATTCCATCAAAATAATAACAGCTGGTAGAAACATTTATGTTGTCGGACAATTACATGTCGTTGACAGAATTGGTGATCTACAGATCTACGCAAGAAGGCTCTAACTAGTAGAAACAACTTCTGTATGTTGGCATCCAGTAATCTGGTCTGCTATTGTCTGTATGATCTTGAGAGATGGATGAAATAGGAACCAAGCAAAGCCCTTTACTCCTCAGATCAACTTTTGCCTGAGCCTTTACCTTCCTCTCCAACTGTCCCCATGAATTGTGATCCTGCGAAGGGCAGATACAGATCATGTAGCAGTCCATTTGCCACTGTAAGAAATAGATAAGGAAAGATCTTGAAGTACCTTGCTAGCACTTGACTTCATGTATGGATCACTTAGCAACTGCATGGTTAGGACAAGAATTATCGTCAATTAATTGGTGATTACTAATACAGAGATTGAGATTGAGATCTCTTGAGCAAAAGGTTGAGGTCGAGTGACTTAAACCTCAAATTTGGTCTCTGATGCAACATATTCTTGTTAATCAAGACAAAACTGATGAAGCAGTAAAGTTATAGGAATGGTAAGAGAACTTTTCCTCCCAGAAGATGAGAAGTTTATGGTGTTACCTGTACTTGCTCTTGTAGAGTTTTGATACAAAATATGGTTTCCATGAGCACAGATGCTTGATCTGTCTGACAAATTCGCAAAAGAGAGTGTTGGATGAACTCATGCTTTTCTATCTGATCACGAAGAACATGGTGAAATCGGTTACCTTCCCGAATGGCGATACAATTTGCTGTAGAGCACTGATTCTTTCAGCTGCCATCCTTGCCTTGGGCACCTGCAGCTGTTTCCGACAAGAATACATTATCTCCCTGCGCTATATATTCCAAGAAACAGAATGATAAATGCGTATCTTTAACCTAACCTTAGCAGGTGAAACCATCGAGCTATCATACTTGGATTTCTTGAGGAGTGTCTCTGTACTCTCTTCATCAGATCTTTGCTTCTTTCCTTCAACTGTTCCGGTATTCCTGCCATTTCCCCTTATCTGCAATAAGAAATGAGCTTTTACTTCTTAGCAGAAACAATTACATGTAATGTTTTGAGGGTTTTGTGTCTGTAAACGAGAAAGAGAGAGCGAGAGAGTGAGAGAGTTACTGATGATCTTTCATATGCTTGCTTATTGCCACAACACAAATCTGAGCCTTTTACACGAGGCTTTGACGCTGGTAACTCCATTCCAGCTTGCTTGCCTAAGCATCCACCAAAGGGGACTTGGTCTGACGGACTTCTTCGGTTAGACAATGAAGCCTCTGCCATTCCACCGCAGAACTCATGGTTGAGACCTGTTTGGTGACTCCGTGGCTTCACGTTGTGATCATAATAGCTTCTACTGCTTTCTCCTACAACTGCGTCGACAGTAAACGACGGTGAAACCGGGATTTCATGCGTAACGTGAGAAGTATCAGACGCCAAGTGATCGATCAACATCGAAGCAGAGATATAGCCATTGCACGTTGATGGTGCAAGATGATGCTCGAGCTGTGGGTTCGAAGGAGCGAGAGACCAGTTGTTAGCGAAATCTGGCTGCATGAGGCTTCCCAAGGAGTGAAGAGAGAATGGATGCAATTCCCTGCAGCTGTCCATCTTCTTGGAGTTAGCGCATGCAGGTTCGAACACATCTGCTGTTAGCCTTCTTGAGCTCAGCACTTCAAGGAAGTTCTCCCCGTCATCCACCTCCCCAGCATCTTCTACGTCTCTGCAACATCGACACCTCCTTCAGAGGACGAGTTTGGTTCGCTTATGTACTCAGAGGGAAAAGATCTATAGATCACCATGAGTAGCAATTATGTATGGCGTCTTCCGTAACACTTACAGCAGGACATGGCTCCACATGTGGCGGTTCTCCGCTGGCTCTCCTGAAACATGACCAGACGAGGAGTCCATGCTGAGGGCTGAGTGGCTGGAAGCATCAGCGAACGATGCAGCGGCGGCAGCGTTGGAGCAGCACTGGGTGATGGCGGGCCGAGAGAAAGGGTTGGGGTGGATCTCCCACCGGTCGTTGGGCACCGTCGAGAGTTCGAGGCCTTGTTGAGCCATGGCGTCGTAATAGTGAGCTTTGCTTTGGCTTCTGCTGCAGACTCGTGGATATATAAGGAGAGCACAGCCGATGGCATGACATCAGCGTGAGATGGAGAGAGATGGAGGATGGGAGACAGCAAAGCGTACTCAACTCGTGTCGTTTCTTCCCACTTGGGTTGTGGACAATTATTATGGCGTTAGCCCCACTCGCCACGCAACATGAAAGTGTAGTTCAATTGTGTGACACAGTTAATTAATGGCTTTAATGGCTGTTAATTAACCTTTGACTGGTGCAATCGAAAGACTCTTCTTCCGTTTTCCCCCGAAACCGTGCGTGCATGCTTATGTTCGGTAATGAAGTTTACAAGGTTGAGACCATTAATTCTCAGGTCCTGATCTCTTTGTAAGGAACCATATCACGAGCGAGTGGAAAGCACTGAGGACAAGCTTGGTGGTGGTGGTGGTGGTGGTGGTGAAGCTGAGATGTCAAGGGTGCCATCGATCGCTCTCAGTACTGCTCTCTTCCACAACTTCCCCAGCCGCGTGAGTGCAGCTGCGCATGAGAAGTGAAGTGGGAAAAGAAATGGACATACAGAGTCTATAGAAGAAGGTGAGTATAGTGCAAGTGACGTGATAGCAGCTGGAAACAGTGCAATTTGAGAGTGCTGTCCATAGCAGCAAAACCAATGCTCCAATGAGGGGAAACAAACAACAAAACTAGGGTTTAAGCTTGACAAGATGACCAACAAATTCAACTAAATCTGACCACAGCAATCTCGTTCAACTGATCTCTGATGTTTACTGCTGTGGAAGACATGCCTGAATCTCTCATAAGCAACACCACCATCAATCAATATACAGTAAATTTAATGCTTAGAACCACAAGAGGAGATTTTAGAGCCGATCGATCAAACATATGGATTGGTGTGACGCTTCTTCTTCTTTTGAGAGGCTGGCTTAAGAAATGGAAGTGGTTTTAGCAGGATGGTGGAGGCTCCCCGACTCAGCTGTGACACCTACTTCCACTACAGCCCACGCCATCTTCATCCACATTCATCAGTGTGTGCCCTAAAGGAATTGGAAAAGATAAAGCCATTGCTAGCTCTCATAATCACATTAGTTTAACGCAAGCTAAGCCTTGGGGATGAGAATGAGATTAGTGTGTGCCTTTAATTATGTCCTGCAAAGACATATTCTACAAAGTAAACAAAGAGTATGTTGTGATATGGATGTCAATCCACAACTCTCTCTCTCTCTCTCTCTCTCTCTCTCTCTCTCTCTCTCTCTCTCTCTCTCTCTCTCAAGTTAGACTGTTATTGTGTTAGCACAGGTGGCAATATCATCCTCTTCCTAATACAACATCTGCCTCTGTCCATGTCAGACATGCCGAAGCTGTGTCTTTGCAGGATAAACAACATACAACCTCTCACTATCACAGCATTCTTTCAATACATTAAGGCCAATCATCACAACCAAAGCGCAGTGAGGCCATTATCTCCCCCTTAGTGGAATCCTTTGGTGAATCAAAAGCTCGGGGAGTTTCGACCTCCTCCATAGGTGGACAACACAACACAACACCTCTTCTTGTTTATAGCAGCACGAGACGAAGGTGGACGGAACCTTCCACAACTATGTATATATATAAAGAGACACCTGCCATCAAAGAATGCTTCGTCTAACCCACGTTGACTATGTAGTCTTTATACGTACATATAGGTAGATAGGAGAGGGTTGTTTATATTGTGCACCTCTATCTTTATAAAGCCTGATCAAAGCTGAAATGTGAAGGCCTGCCTACCTTCCACTAGGGTTGGTGGGAGTGGGCTGTGTCTGTGGGTTTTGATGGTGACGGTCATGGATTCCATATGTGTGTGTACGAATTGTTGGTGAGGGAGGTTTAACAGGTGGATGAGATGATGAGGGAGAGGGGGTTGTGATGGAAGACCGATGGGTTTGTCAATGGGGATGGTGAAGAATTCCGAGGGCAAGAAGTCAAAACAGGACGAGTGAGTTCGAGGGTCGAAGGCTGTGCCATTGATTGATTCAACCATGCCGTAGTTGGAGGAAGATGAGCGTGTAATGTCTTCTGAGCTGTTCGAGCTCTATCACCTTCACGTCATCCATCGTTAGAGCGTGTAATGTCTTCTGAGCTGTTCCCTCAATCATCTCCTACCTTAGAAGAACTGCTATGAAATGTCGGACACACACTATTAATAATGATATATAATATTTCAAAATAAGATTTCGGTGATTAGTGCTTTATTGTGTTACCAAAGTTCCTGATGAAATTTCTTTTCAATCACAAAAAGGCTCCAATCGGCATCCTATTGCAAAAAATAAAAATAAAAATAAATCCATTTCTCAGATTTTTTAAGAATTATTTTATTTTAATAATTTATTAATAATATTATAATCACACTTGTTTTTGAAAGAAACCTATTTTTCTAAGAGAAAATTTTATTCTTTATTTTTTATAAGATAGGCTGACAGTGAGTTTTGTGAATACCAGTAGATATGAGTGGGAGATCCAGATAAGGAACTAGCATACTTTCTTTACTAATCCCCAAAGTATGTGCAATAAAGTCCTTATCATCAATACAAGGACACATATAGACTTTATTTTTCGTATGATTTAATTGAAGGTCAGAAACTATACCAAAGTCATTCAAAATAGTAGCCAGGTTCCTCACTAAAGTTGAATCATTCTGAAGAAAGATAAATAAATCATCTACAAAAGTTATGTGTGATATATGAATATAATTAGCATTGGGTACCTTAATACTGTCATCGGAGACTGCTTGTATTAATATACAGCTGAGTCCTTCCATTGCAATAGTAAATAAATATGGAGAGAGTGAATCACCTTGTCAGATGCTATTCGTGCTATCAAAAAAAGCCAATATGTGAGCCATTGAAGAGTATCAAAAACTTTAGAGTTTCCAAGCAACATTGAATCCAATTAACCCATTGTTGAGGGAAGTTAATATCGAGGACTATTTTATAGATAAATTTCCTATTAACTGAATCAAAGTCTTTTTATAAATCAACTTTAAAACATATTTTTGTCCCTTTTGCTTTTGAGTGCATATCCTTGACCAAGTCATTAGCAAGAAGAATATTATGATGTATACTTCTCCCTTCGATGAAAGCAGCATGATTAGGTCTAATGATCTTATGTATTATCTTTTGCATTCTATTTGCCAACACTTTGGAGATGATCTTGTAAATAAAGTTGCATAATGATATAGGTTGATAGTTCTCTAGTGAATCAGCCCTTGTATTCTTGGGAATTAAAGAAATAAAAGTATAATTCATCTCTCTAAGAATATGACTTGAAGAGAAAAAATGTTGGCAAACTTTAATCACATCATTATCAATAATAGACCATGTAATTTGGTAAATTTCAGTGGAAATCCGTTTGGACTAGGGCTTTTATGCTTCGGTGACTTAAAGATAACTCTTACAATTTTGTCATATATAATTAGGGCATTGAAGATTGAAATGACACTCGAATCAAGCTTTCTAGTTGGCTCAACATGAATGTTATTATGTTACACCGCTTGATTAAGTAAGGAATAAAAAAATTACTCAGTGTGTGCTTTAACCTCATCTAAATTCTTAATAAGATTATCATATTTGTCTCTGCATTTTCTAATGCGGTTAACAACCCTTCGTATAGTAATGGAAGCATAGAAAAACTTAGTATTTGAATCCCCTAGAGTAAGCCAATGCTATCGAGACTTTTGCTTTGCAAAACTTTTCTCCTGCTTTAAGACTTGTATGATGTTATTTCTGGCTTCTATCTCTTTGTAGATAAGATTCTCATCATGGGGCTCAAGTTGCAGCTCATGTCGCATTGCTATTAGTTCTTTTCTACAAAATTGAACTCGGGTGGTAATATTACCAAAGGTGTTTGTCTTCCACTCTTTAATTGCTGCTTTACAAACTTTGAGCTTTTAACATAAGATGTAAGGGGGCGAACCAAGCATATTAACATTCCAAGCTGATCTGATAACATAAGGAACTGAGGATGAGTACTCGACATGTTAAAGAATCTAAAAGGTTTCTTGCCTCTAGGTGTTGTTATGTCTACGTGTATATACATTAAAGAATGAACAGAAAATAAGGGTGCATCATACTCAAAAAGTGAATCAAGGTAAACTGTAAAGCATTCTTGATTAATCGGACACCTGTCGAGTTGAGCCATTAATTTTCTATTAACAGCACCTTGATTATTCTAGGAGAGCCAATTTTCATATATTTCATATCAATTAATACAGCAGTATCGATGTAATCATTAAAACTATGAAGTTGGTTTTCTAAAAGCTGTCTACCCTCCACTTTTTCATTTATATACCGAACAATATTAAACTCACCAAGAACAATCTAAGATACATTAAGACAGCCATTTGAAATGTTAGTCAGATCAGTCCATAGTATATTTTTTTCTTGCATACTATTTGAAACATATATACCAGTGAAATTAAATTGATAGCCATTCTTTTTGTTCTCAACCTTAAGATGAACGAATTGATCAGTAGCATAAATAAACCAAGCATTAATAGAATTAGGATGTCATAAGACCCATATTCTACCAAAAGTTTCACTAGAATCATTGCTAAACAGTTATGTGTTTAGCCATATTAAATTCTTTTGAGCATGAATACATGATTGCTTAGTTTTCATTTCCAAAAAATAGCAATATTACATGTGGCAGACTTGATTATTTTGTAGAGCTTCGGACATTTTTCAGGCTTATTAACTCCATGAACATTCTAGTAAATTATCTTCATCAGAAATTAAACAAATAGAAAATGAAGTAAGATATTCATCGACTTTGAATGGCCAGTACCATCCTTTTTCTTATCCTTAGATTTTACATTTTCTCCCGCACAATATCCTTACCTTTTAAAGCTTTATTCCTATATTTATCTACTTCATCCACACATTGCAAATGTTTAGACTTTATAGGTTGGCATGGTTTGTTGAAGTGTGATAAGATTGTTGAGGCACAATATCCTGGTTAGTATGGCTTATTGAGGCATAAGATAGTTGAGGCAGAATATTCGAACATTTTTTGGATAAAATACCTCAGGAAGATCTTCGTCGGAAGAAACCAGTACACATACTCGTGCAAATGCTAATCTCGTCTGCGTAACTATTGCTTTGTCGATGTAGAGTGACTGTCCTAAAGTGCTGCATAACTTTGTAATAAAATGTCGACTCTAAAGATGTAGATAAAGACCTTGAAAGGATACCCATAAGGGAATAGACGGTAGGTTATCTAATTCCAAATATATATCAGGAGACCAACATTGTAGAATCATTGGATGACCGCGAATACTCTAAAACCCTTCGAGGACCCGTTACAAATTTTCTTCAGAGTATAACTTGCAAACAAAAAATTCGTTCTCTAACATATAAAGATCAAATGTCGATGTTTCCCATGTAGTTTTGATAAATGAGGCTAGTAGGAAATATGATGTTTTGATACCTACCATATATCCAACAATCGTCATAGATATGTCTCAATCAACTATGCGGAATCAGTAGTTCTTCTTATCATCTTGAACTTCTGGAGCAAATAAAACGAAGCTGAGATTCAGTAGTTCTTCTTATCATCTAGTCCAAAGTCGAGGGTCGCTGGAAACGAGAGAAGGAGGTCAAAATGTAGAGCATCTCGCTGGCTGGAAAGAAGATAGTGGAGGAGCAACTTGAGAGGTAAGGGCAGAGAGCCTCATAGGCAAATCTACCCTGCCGCCATCGTCGCCAGCTCAATGGACCATCGCTGCTGTGTTCCTATAGTGTTGGGAGGGCTGCACACTCGCCGCCCCCAAAGAAACCATCCTCTATTCCACCAAGAAGACGAGGAGCGCGCAGAACTACCGACCCTCTTCTTCTCTGTTTCTACGATGAGAAGGGGAAGATGGCGTTGGGAGCTTCATGCATAATCTATGTTCGTTGAGAAGAGGGGCTGCAGAGAGGGATCATAGCAGGTTGACGGTCCCAACTTTCTCGTTGCAGTCGCCGCCGCTGTCACCCAGCCCACCTCACCTTTGTTGCTCCTAATGAGAAGGGGAAGAAGGAGGGTAGAGGGCTGCACGCAGTAGCCACCCCCAAAGAAACCCTCCTCTGTTCCACCGAGCAGAACAGGAGGAGAGCAGGAGATGCAGAACCGCCGACCGCAGCAGAGCACCATTGACCACGAGAAGGGTACGATTACAACAGCCTTCCTCCGATATCAGAGCAAGGGATGCAAGGAGGAGCGATCATAACCCTCTCTCCGCTCCTCTATTCTCTAATATCTAAAATACCCTTAATCATTTATCCTTTATATATATATATATATATATGGACAAGTCTATAGGATGAACCGATCCCATTACAGCATTTTTACACATTGTTATAGTATTTTTTTTAATAATATTTAAATATAATTATAATATAGTAAAAAATAATGTTATAATATCTTCCTAATATTGCGAAAAACAAAAATACTATATTACAATGTTTTTGTTACTACGCAACAACATTTTTCTGCTATTGCTAATAACACTATAATATAATATAAAAATACTATAAATATATTTTTTATACTATTTATAAAAACACTATATTATAGTGTTTTTATACCATAGTATTATTGAAAACACTATGATATAGTATAAAAAAATATTATAATCACACCTGATCATACTATGTATGGGTCGATCGATAGAATATGGAATGAAAAAAGATATTTCAAACATAAAAAGCTTTTTTTTTTCCTGGAATTCGTCCAAGAAAATATAATGAAATATTTATTTTATTTTATTATATTTTTCAGTCGTAATCTTTTATATGTGAGGCATCTGACTGAACTTTCAATGTCATCGTTTCTTTTTTCAAAGACTGACAATAAAAAAATTAATTGGAGCTTAATTATCTTAGTCTTAATTTTTAAGATGTAATTCTTCCTCTATAATTTAATCTATAGAATTTAAGTAATTAAAATTTTTACAGAGATAAACTTGTAAATACGGATAAAACCCTAATAGCCGTTGATCAGATTTGATTTGATCGGTTTCCTTCCTGCCGCCGCCTCCTGGGTCTTAGGGTCTCATTTCGCAGCTACGACGTTGCGATATCCCAACCGTTGATCTCCTTCCTAATCGATATTAGGGTTTCTCGTTTCCTCGCTATAAGTAACTCGCCTCCACGGCTTCTCTCCTCGGTGCCCAAAGCTCCTCTCTGATGGCCGGGGCTTCGGAGGCGACATATGTAGGGTTCGTGGTTTTGTAGGACTTTGAAGGCGAGATCTCTAAGGTTCGCGCATCTTCTTTGTCGATGGATCCTACTTCACTTTCGTCTTTGTTTCTCGTTTTCCTTTTTCGGATTTGGAAGAGATCGGCGGAGGTGTTTCATGAGATGTGATGATCCTTTCCCCAAATGATCGACGATGAATACACTGCGCGTGTTTCTTTATCTACCCCTCATTTTTGAGGAGGAAGATTCAAGCCAGCGATTCTGATCTCCATCCCTCCATCGTCTTCCTCCCTTTCTTGTTTTTTAGATTCTCTGATTTTTTTATGCTTGTCAGCCGTTGTTGATGCATTAATGGTCGTGGCGAGATGATGATCCTTTCCCCAGATGATCGACTATGAACATACTGTGCGCTATTGTTTTCTCCTTCAAGGAGAAGATCAAGCCAGGTTTCTGATCTCCGCGATTGCCAACCAATCCAATGGCTGGCATGGTGCAATCGTTGATCTCCTTTCCGATGGCCATTAGGGTTTCTCGTTTCCTTTCTATAAGTAGCTCGCCTCCTCGTTTAAAGTTAAGGTTCCTCTTTCTTCGCGGAGGCTTCGTAGTCGAGATCTCTAGATTTCATGATCTTTTCGGCGTTAGATTCTTAGCGTTTGTGTTCATGTCTGTTGATAAATCCATGATTGGTTTCTTTCTTCTTTTTGTTTCATTTTCTTTTCCGATTTGGAAGAGAATGATGGAGGTGTTCTACGGGATGTGATGATCCTTTCCCCAAATGATCGACGGTGAATACACTGTGCATTTTTCTTTGTCTCCTCAGATTGGAGGAGGAAGATTCAAGCCAGCGGTTCTGATCTCCATCCTTCCATCTTCTGTTTTCCTTTTTTTAGTTTTGTTGATTTCTGATGCTTTGTTGCCGTTGATGATACATCAATGGTCGCGGCGAGATGATGAGCCTTTCCCCAGATGATCGACTATGAACACACTGTGCGCTAATGTCTTCTCCTTTACGGAGAAGATCAAGCCAGGACTCTGATCTCCGCGATTGCTAATCCATTCAATGTCTGATAATTTGCAATTTTATGTTTGTGTTGAAAATATTTTAATTAATATTGATACGAGAGTTCCATTATTATCTCTGTTTTTATCTGCGAAGAAAGTATTTTAATTTTTCTTTTACCGAAAACAAGAAATCGATCTCCCAGTTTTTTTAGATCCGAGAGGCAGAAAAAACGATTGGATGTATACTTTCCTAACCCACAGAAATATTTCAGTAATTCTACAGAGATATCTTCGTCTTCAAGAAAATAAATAATATTTCAAAATTCATTTTGTAGCTCAATGTTTTTCAACATCAGAATTATCACTTTTTTTAAATTGCTTATCTGCTTTGCTACTTTCCGTAGTAATATCATCGGCTGATAATTGCAATGCAATTTTAAGCACATGTAGAGACGAACTATACTCACCGAACCCTCGTTCTAATCTCAACGCCTTCGACGCCTCCAAACCTTTCGAATAGCGGAGCTTGGCGGCAGTGTAATCGCCCACGTTCCTATCCCAAGGAACCTTAAAATACTAGTTTCCACCGATGGTTAAATATCTTCCTCTAAAGCATGTTGAAATAATCCTCAAAGCAAGGATACCTAAATTAATAAACATCTAAATCAAGAATGCCTAAAGTTGTAAACTAATTCTAAATTGAATGTATACTGCTGTCAAACTATGCGATCGAACGGAAACAACTTTTGTAGTTGAAGACGGGGTATAAGTGTTGAGGGTAGGATGAGAGATGCTTTTAAGATGTGTGATCCTCCTCTTGGTCCCAAAATTTTGTTGATAGTTGAATCAATTCGATTTGATTCGGAGTCGCGTCTAAGAAATCTTTATTGGTAGCAGTGAGAGAATTGAGTATACAATAATATCTAACCATTTGAGAGTAACTTTGTTATATTAAATGGTCAATTTTGTATTTTCATTTTGAAGTTTTTCCAAAATGTATCCCTTTTTTTATATTTTCTAAAGATCTTATTTTTCACAATTTCGAAATATCCTTTGACGAGGGAGTTATACTAACTAGTATTGGGCACAACCAATCGATGGTCACAGGGTGACAATATTAACCTCGCATGTATAAAATTCACACGTCACTTATATTATTTTTAATAAATTTGCAGTATTTTAAAAACCTTTATCAAAATATTGTATACTTATTTAAAAATTCTATAACCAACATAAATTGATTCAAGATTCAATAGAACTTCTCATATACAAAATATGATTTTAAAAAGTATGTTTGTTGGTCTAGAAACAAGAACAACTAAAAAGGAAGACATATTAATTGCATTATTTTTATTCACTCTGTAGATCAATTTACCCTGTAGCTTGGTTTAAAAGAATAAACGAGAATTGTTATTGTGGCTTGTTAGAGATATTTTGTGGAATGTTGACAAAAAATGAAAAATATGTGTATGGTTACGGGAAAAAAAAAGAGTTAAAAATAGAGTGTTTTCCTGGAATTCGTCCTATATTAATTGTGATATATTATGTCTTTTGATAATTTTACTTGCTCGGTGCGGCGGGGTTTGCCAACATGAATGATTAATCCTATCGGTGCGGATCACAGAACGCATCGACTCCCTATTGGATCCGATGGCCATAGTCCAAGCAAGCTTGTGTCGGCACAACGATCCAAGAGGCCTAATCCCTTACCCCACTAGCTCGGTGGGACAGGACCGTACGTACGACGATGGCAAAGGGAAAGTTGCAAGCAGACAAACAGCGAATCATAGAAAGAGAAAAAGAAAGCAAATTGTGCAGCGAAGGCAACGTAACATTAACGTAGTTCAGCAAGCCATTTACTAATACATCATCGCTAAAGCTAAAGCACGCCATACCGGAAAGCAAAACGACGATCGAAGCAGAGGCAAACAGGTTCTCCTACATGCATTCAACACACACACATACACCCGCTGCTTATTGCGTGATAGCTGATGCTACCGAGGCCCCGTTCAGGCGTGGGGCGTCTTGTCGACGTCCTCCAGGGGGCGGTACCACACGGTTTCGTCCAACGCCGACGGGCCGGCTGCCGTCTTCGCACCGCCTGCGGCTGCGGAGGACGCGCCAGTCTCGGCGGCGGGGCCGAAGACGCCGGTGGTGGGGTGGGGGCCCCAGTAGTACTTGTCCGCCTGGGCGTCGATCACATTATCCGGCACCGCGGTGGGTCCCACCGGCTCGTCCTCGTTCTTATCGTACGACGACGCGTGCACTCCCCTCTTCCTGCACCAAGCCAGAAGCGGACTTCTATAGCTGCATGCTGTTTCGGTGATGCAGCGGATCTTTTCCATAGTATTCAGACAAATAAGAAAAACTCCCCAATCGAGAGCGAAGATGCCACCATCAGCTAGCAAATCCCAACCGTACGAGACCACCCCACCCGCTCACGTACCCGCTCCGGTGCCTCGAGGAAGCGGAGTAATGCGTGTCACGGTAGCAAGCGGGTTCCACCGGTACACCGTGCGAGGGTAAGAAACCGGTTGGAACGAGATCAAGGGAAAAAAGAAGGGAGACGTCGATGACCAAGACGAACGTATCATACGGCTGATATCGCCTGGATCATCTCAGCGACACTCGCAACCAATCAGGACAGTCCTTCTTCCCATCTGGCGTGAGAGGATACGAAAGATGTGTCTACCACCCACCGAAGGATTTTTCCATGGTCGATAAATCAGTACTAGACAGCTCGTTAGAGATTAGAGATTCGGACCAAAAACCCCTGTTTTAAGCAACCGATTTTAATACTTGTCGCAAGAGATTCTTGTGTGAGGAGATGACCAAGAAATTGTTAAGAGTGGTTTAAGACGAAGAAGAAGGTCCATGGTTTTCCCCCAAACAAGAGCATGTATCCCCGTGTTCGTAGGAGCAACATCAGATCGAGCAAGAAAAGAAGACAAAAAGAAGGGGGGCGAACCTGGAAGAAGCAACGGCGGGCGGCGCGGGATCCCGAGCGGCCCAGATCCGGTTCACGAATCGCTTCCCCAGGACTCCAGTGACTAACACTCGGGCTGCCATACAAAGAACGGATGAGATGGAGAAAGAAGGAAAGAAACCTCCGCGTGGAGAAAGCAGGAAAGAATGGTAAGAGTCTATATCCGAGAAGGGGAAAGGGAAAGGGAAAGGGAACGGACAACGGAGACGCGCTTCGTCGCACTCAACCCTTCCCCTTCTCGAATATTATATCCGTGGGACCCACACCGCACCAACTGTCTCCTCACGGAGCCGTCTCCCAGCGAACGACATTCTGCGAATATTCCGCTTGTTCCGGTGATAACGCCGTCCGCCGGAGTGGGGGTGTCATAATCCACCGTGAGTTGAGTCGACTCGGGGCTGATGTGGCAATATGGAGTCATTTCTCCGTCGCTAATGACATGACGGGAGCCGATTTGACGGAATCCAAATCAACTCTGTCGACAATCACGACATTGCCCTCTGGCGCTAACAGCCAACGTCGAGTACTTCAAGATTCGTGCGTTTCTTCTCGAAAAAGAATATTCGGCATCGCGAGACTCTTATTCCAACGTTATGCCATTATCTCTCGGGTCATATGGCACGTTCACGGAAAGTCGTGCGTAAGTTGTCATTAAATAAAGAACATAATGGTTTTTTTTATAATATTTTTGTCAAATTTTAAGTGTTCTAAAAAAGTCTCAAATTTAAGTCTCCTAACGCTCCGACCTCTCCTCTTAGCGATCAACAAATTCTCACACTAGACACTATGAATTATATTATTATAATATATGACATGTGATAAGAATAGCTTAGAGGAAAAAGAATTAGATTTGCTATCTAACGATTATATTTTTGTTAGTTGAATAATCATTTTTTATTTTACGAGCTAATTATATGTTATCCGTGTGATTAGTTATCTTTAGTATTTTTATTTTTATATTTTAAAAAAAATTATATTAGAATCCTTATATTTATGAAAATGAGATATTTAACCTCGTTTTTACTCATCTCATCGATTCTATTTACAAAAATACTATACGTGCTTAGTGATAAACCGAAGTAAGGTAGAGTCCGCTTGTGCTCAATGATATACCCTACGATATTTCCGTTAGTAGAATCGGCAACGTGCGGAGAAACGAGGTTAGATGTTTCACTTTTATAAGTATAGGGATCCCAATGTAACATTTAAGAATATAGAAATCAAGATTCTAAAGGTAGCTAATTGCAAGGGGTACCATGTAATTAATCTTTATTTTATGAGAAATTATTAAGAATTTTATCTTTATTGGTTATATAGGTGTTAATTTGGTATGTAATTTACGATAATGATATCAATGTCAAGTTAAAGTTTTAACTCGAGCTCGAATACAAATGGATTATGCTATTGTGCTATGAGATTTGTGATAAGGATGCCATGGACGAAGAAGAACTCGATTCGCTTTGCATCAAGTGTTACGAGTAAATTCGAAGGATTACTTGTTCTTATCATTCTAATAATTATACCTTTATTGGTTGTGCAATCGTATTTATTATATCAAGAATTTATTGAGGATTTTATCTTTATCGGTTACAATGATATTAATTTAGTATGTAATTTACAATAAGAATGTCATTGTCAAGTCAAAGTTTTAACTCTAGCTCGAATACAAATAAATTATATTATTACGATATATGAATTTACGATAAAGATATCTTAGACGGAGAAGAACTTGATTTGATTTATGTCAAAGTGCTACTTGTGAGTTTTGAAGAGTTACTTACTCTTGTCATTCTAACAATTATATCTTTATTGGTTGCACAACTATACTTATTTTACTAGGGATGATTCTATTCTTACTAGTTACGTTGATTTCATTGTAATGGTTTGGAGCTTGGTTTATACAACTTATTTATTAAGATTTATTTGATAATGTAATTAATATGCTTGTGGTTGCACAACTATACTTATTTTACTAGAGGATTGTGAAGGATTTTATTCTTGCTAGTTACATTGATTTCATTGTAAGTCTAGTTATTTATTAAGATTTATTTGATAATGTAATCAATATGCTTGTGTTTATGGTGTGATCGAAGCATAGGGAGATGCCAATTTTTTACTTGGATTGAGATCCACCTATATGTGTGAACGAGCAAACAGAGTAGTTCCAATCCTCTCAAAGTGGAATTGGCCAAAAGTAGATAGAGGGAGGAACTTTTTATTGAGGAGCTCTTATCATTTCTTGGGTTGCAATCGTGGTTAATTGTTTTGCAAAAAATGTAATGTGTTAGCTTAGATTGTGTTAGGGTCCAATCTGCATCAAGTTGTATATAATTAATGTTGGGCTGACAGCCCAGTCAACCCATATTCAGCCCAAGGTGAGTTTTATCAATCCACAGCTCACCTCATTTTAATCTAACCCTATTTATATTAGGGGGGGGGTGTGGTGGCTAGAAAAATAGATAGAAAAAGATATCAATTAGGTAGTTTTTCGCAGCCATAGAATTCCAAAGAAAAGAAGAAGAACAAGGCAGAAAAGGAAGAGAAAGAAAGGGAAAAGGACAAGGACGACACAGAGAGACTGTTCTCAATTATCTAACAGTGATTACTTGGGGAGAATTATGGAGGATTTAGATATTGTGCACAGTGATGTGATCTTTGTATCCTAGTTATTCTTGTGATTGTTGCTAGGGTTTTGGGCAAGAGATTAAGATTTATATATTTATTATTATCATAGTGGATTATCTCTAGTGTATCCCGTCGTTTTTATCTTTCACATTTAAGGAGTTTCTACATAAATCTTGGTGTTCTATTTGATTATGATTTCATTTAATTCCGCTGTGTGTTATGGACTGCTACTATTTGTTCATATACAAAAATTATTTCTCTTTATATCCCATCAATTAATTATATGTGTTATGAAAGTCTTAGTTATAAATTTGGGATAGATATTGAATATTGTTGTACTCTTGTAATGGAGAAATGCAATGAGTAGAAAATTCATTAACACTCAATTTATGAATGTGTATTATTAGTGTTGCATCTGTGTGGAATGCTGATGAAATGGTAAATGCTTGTAGGCAAATATAATCTGTGACAAAAAGAAATATAATTTTGTATCCGATGACACAAAACAAATAGAATTTGTCAACTAACCACAATTCAAACCCAAAAAATACAAATCTTTATCCAAAATAAAAGACTGACCCAAACATCATTGCCTTCACTATTAGATAAGTAATCATCATAACTGCTGCCTTCTAACCTGCAGGTGTATTAAAAACCTGTAATCACCAAAATAGTTTCAAAACAAATGCACAACCAAACTCTTGTTTTATCTCTCCCTCCTCTTATTTCAAACATAAATGAATCTTATTTGTATATAAATCTTCTCTATTAACTTGATAGAGAATCATCATGATGATTGGTTTATCAGAAGCTTTCAATATCATTGAATTGAATTGAACATTCAATTGAACATCACCCTGGCTTTAACTCTTCAAAATAATTTCATCCCTTATGTGTTGGGCTGACATCCCATGAGTTCAGCCCATAGTTCACATGTTTTTTAATCTAACCCTAGATCTAATAAGTGATGATTACGAAAAATTAGGAGAAATACTACAGTAACAAGATAGAAAACTACAACACTGATTTGATTTAAATAAAAAAAAAATAAGAGAATGAAAGGGAAGAAGACAATGATAATGTAAAAAGACTATTCTCAATCATTCAAACAGTGTTATCATATTAAGTTAGTAGATTTTTACTATGATTAATTAGAAAAAAATTAAATATTATATATAGTAACATAATAGGAAAAATTTAAATATTGTGCATATAATCCGATCGTTGTTTGAGTTTTGAACAAATGATTTTAAAATTTATATTTTTATTATTCTTATAATAAATTAAAATTTCTATTTTATTCGGCTGTGTTACGATCTATCTATATTTATTCGTATACAAAATTTGTTGGTTCTTTATATCCCATTGTTGTACTTGTATAAATATATGATATATCTTTCTTTTTGTTTGTCAGAATATCCATCGATTCATTTTTGTTAATCAGTGATGAAAATCCATCCAACGGCAAATCTGTTCACAATAATTACGTGTGAGAACAAAGACGACACAGCACAAACCAAGACAAAATGCTGCCATATTTTTGTTTCAAATTTGCCCCACACTTGCCTTAGCGATAGACACAAACAATGCACATCTCCATAAAATGTAATATTTCTCAACCAAGTTGCAAAATAAGCAACTGGTGTTTGGTGGAGAGACACACACTGACCAATAAGCAAGAAGTTGCAACATAATAATGCTCACAACACACACACACACACACAGAGAGAGAGATCAATTAAGATTACCAAATATGCTTGCTTCTCCGGGAACAGCAAACGTGCAGCTGACTCCCACTGTTTTGGTTGTCCACACAAATCATTAACCGCTGGGACGGTAAAAAGATGGCAATCGAGGTCTTCGCTTCAAGAATCCTACACGCAACTCCTGCTATGAAACCCAAATTCAGATTGCTACCTGTTCGTTCGTAAGGCCAAAATCCAGATTCAGATCCAGGAGCGAGGAGCGATTCCAAGATGGCAATCGACCTCTTTCTCCCCCTTCCCCCTTACCTTCGCTATAAGCTGCAGCGATTCCATGATAAAACCACAAAGAAGAAATAAAGATCAAAGAGTCATCAGTAAAACCATACCGTTCGTCGATAAGATGTCGAGGAGGAATTGCCGTGACCGGCAGAAGCGAGTCGTAACAGCAGGGGTGGGAGGGGCAGGCACAGGAGATAGGATTTCTTTCGCCTTCCCTCCTCTCCTCTGCATGCCCCTTCCACTGCTACTGCTACCTCCTCAGCGACCTTTCTTTCTTTCTAGTCTCTTTCTGTCCCTCTCCTGTGATGCGTTCTTATCGGCTCTGCTTTTATAAACCCGAGAACGAGTGTGTCGGGGCAGTACAAAGGTGTACTTTTCCCACTGCCCGAGCTTCAGATAGTGGTACTTCTATTGTGTGGTTTGTGTAGTATCTTAGTACTGCACTGTACTGCGCTTTGCTACCACTCCGCCTCCTGCGAGCCATGGAAGATGGGTAATCACCGACGCAGATTTGGATGGGAAGGAATGATTACGTTAATCGTTTCGACGAACCAAGCTACCTGACTGCAATTTTGACCCTTTTGATTGGACTCGAAAGCCTGAATCTAGTCGACTTATACGTGAAGAATTGTGTCTCAGTGTGTTCCGATCTGAGCTTTCTATTTGTGTTCTTGACATTTCAATCGAGGCTTTTGTCGAAGGATTAAGTTATTGACGTGCTGATTAATTCGATACGATCCGAATTAGTTCCGATTCTTTGGACACCTAACTTTTATACATGAATATAAATGAATAATAGAATATCTTATCATGTGATGATTATTGATGAGGATAGTAATTACGATAAGACTCGGCTGACGTCAATCGCGCCTCACACCTCGATCGGCGCGACGGTACCCGATCAAACGGATCAGAACACAGCTCGAGACGCATTAACACCCGCTCAGGCTTGGCTCTTCATGCCATGCCAAACCAATGTCAGACGCCACCATCTGCCCCTGTAAACGGGCACATCAAACAACAGTAAGCTTCCCTATAAATACCCTCGCACTCTGGATGAGTGGTCGGGGGGGGGGGGGGGACGGAGGAGAGAACACACCAGGGAGACACCTCAAACTCTACTCCTTTCTACCCCCTCCATCATCTACTGACTTGATTGTCGGAGGGGTCGGGTCGAGCCACCTGACTCGACCTATGTGTAGGACGACAGACGGAGCACGTGCCCAGCTGAGGAGCCCCCTCCGACGGAGACGACTGACCCCGTTCTGATCGGACCGCCACAATCGACCACCTCGGCGAACCCGAGGGCCACACCGGGAAGATCCCGCCATCCGGACCCGAACCGAGCCGCATCGGCCCCGAGGCCACGGCTCCAGGTTGTTTACCACAACAATTATAATGACCGACGGTGTACTCCTACCAGCTTCTATGTCAACAAAACAAGCCTTTGTGCTGAAAGCAACGGCGTTGGATTGTGCACGTAGGCGTTCGAGTTGGGTCGGATTCGTGGCCAACAGTAACCCAATCTTCGGTGCGAATCGATCCTACTAACCCAATCCAGTGAATGAATGTGCGATTGAGCATGCCATGGCACCTAAAGTCAAACGCACAGAAGAACTTACCAGTTGAGAGCCTGTTTCATTTCCAAGTCAAACACACATCCTTGCAAGATTCAACCATTACACGAGAACAAGATTCATGTGCATTTCACATGCCCTGAACGGCTGAAGCCACCGGAATCAACACCGTCCCCATAAGTGCATTTCCGAGTTCTTAGCCGATGGTGCAACCTGTGGTGTACGTGTGCCATGAGCAACAGTTCAAAATAATATAATTCACATTCCTTTAATTATTATTTTTTCTTCTCCTCTCGTCGGTAAATTAATTGTTTGGAAAATATTATGGTCGATACACCAAAAGAAAAAAAAAAAGGAAAAATTCTACTTCATACCTCTTCGATATCTGTCTGGATTATCTGCATGTTGGATCTCACCGCTTGCCTACACAGTGCAGCGATATCCAGATAGATAGAAACGGATCAAAGAAGGTTTAACGTACAGAATAAATACCAAGGAAATCGAGCAAATAATTCAGAGCTAACGTGACTTGCAAGAAGCAGACCTAAACGTTTTGATTCACACCACGTACCTCTGCATCATTGTCTCCGCTCCCGGTTTCCAGAAGTTCGATCTCATCAGTCAATCTCTTGATCTAGCCGGAAAACAGTTCTCAGATGATGGACGGATAGAAGTTTCTCCTTAATCTTTTTGTTTTCCATTCTCATGGTAATCAAGATTCGACACATTACAAGATTCGGGTCGTACCTCCGCATCATATTCTTCCTTGCTCTTCACCAGATCCCGGTGATTCGATTTCAGCTTCCGGTACTCATCCCTGTATTTCTTCAGCTCGCCCCCAGTCTCGCGTGCTTTAGCCTGTCATCAACGAATCCAAGAAATCATGTCATGAGAGAGAGAGAGAGAGAGAGAGAGAGAGAGAGGATGCAGACCCGGAGTTTTTCCACGCGCTTCTTCAGTGCCTTGTCCTCGTCGATTACCTCATAGAGCAGACGTCGGCGACGAGAGAGTAGTTTCTGGCAGTCGCGAAGCTGTTTTCGTTGCCCTGCTGTCGTTGGATCCGAGGTGTGGAGAATGGTCTGGATGTTCCCCATGGGATGCGCCCTGCTGTCGTTGTTGGTTCCCGCAGCAAAGACGACGAACAAGAACCAGACGATATGAAGACGCAGCAACTCAGGACGAGGACGAATGGGAGGAGAAAGCAAAGCTCAAGAAACCTTTGATCTCACCTGGAGAGGGAGATCGAGAGAGAATGGGAGGCATGCAGAGGGAGAACGCCGACGTGCTTTTATAGTGGGTCGAGGTAGGCAATATGGTGCATCAAGATTCTTGTGTTCTTGGGAACGGCTTTCTTGTTCTTTGGTTATCTGCTCCTCCACCCGAGCTCTGCTCTGCGGCCTTGACGAAGCTGCAACGAGCGACCAGACGAGATCTCAGACCGGGAGAAGGAGACGTTGGCTCGAGAGATAGCAGAGCTGGAATCTGCAGGATCAATCGCCAGCTGCCTTGCAGGGACAGATCGAATAAAGAACCAACCAGCAAAATGATTAGCTCGTTGGCAAAACAAGGATGGATTTGCATAGTTCTTCATGAGGTGTGTCGTACTGTTCATCGGTGCTTTTTTAGTTGCAAAGTGATTAGCTTATTGACCTTATTTTCAGATCAAAAATGAATATGTTTGTGAAAACCAATACCTTCTCTGCTCCTGCCCACATTGGTGTCATGTAGCAGAGAATACTACCAGGTCGCATTTCTAGCTGGAACAGTTGTACTTAAAGAACATAAAACAACTCCAAGTTAAAAGGTGAACAAAGAAACATTAAAGATTCTTTGTCAAGTTCTGATGTATTGATTGATGTTCTTTGTCAATCAATTGATTGACAAAGGATACCGCTATACCAAAAAAAGCACGCAAACACGACAACTCTTGATTATTAGTACATGAACTCAAATTCAACAAATTTTTGAATCCTCACAGTTGATTTGGGAGCTTCACAATTGCTCCAGCCATGCATGGCCATATTTCTCAGGAACTCACGCTCAGTAACATTTACGACAGTGATCGACTCGTCCGTCTCCTCACATTCTTCTTCCATCTTGCGGCCTGCCCATGGAGAGAATGTTTAGTGGTGATCTTATGCATGTTAGAGATCTTGGAGCTCATGATGACTGTATGTCAGTATGAAGAAAATATGATGACTATGTATACACATGAGCGGCCGGAGATATGCATCATCCACGGAAGAAGGAAGAAGATTTTGCGGCTCACCTAATGATTTCCAGAAGCTTGATGTCATTAGCCAATCTTGCAGCCTACGGAATGCAACAATTTCCGGATCACAAATGTACAGATAAGAAGAAAGATCGAGTGAGTGCTTAAAGAAACATCTTCTTTTCTTGGTTATTGATTCCAAGAAGTCAATGCTATCAAGAAAAGTCTCTATCCTTCCTACCTCTACATCGTATGTAGCTTTGCGCCTCACCAGACGATCGTGCTTGCTTTCCATCTTCTGGCACTCCGCCATGCAATCCTTCAACTCCTCAGCGGCTTTGATTGACTTGACCTACGCATTCCAATCAAAACATCATCACACGAAGGAATCCAAGAGAGAAGCTTGGCAAGAGAACCCAGACCCGGTCGCTCTCTACGCGCTTGTTCATCCACTGTTCTTCGTCTTCCACCGCGGAGAGCCTGTTCCGGAGCCGACGGATCGTGTCGTCGTAGTTGCTGAGCTGAAGAAGCAAGGCCGCCTCGTTCCTGGGGGTGCTTTGGTCGTTCCCCATGGATCGCCTCGTTGATTCCTTTAGGTGGACTGCCTCAGGAAGAAGACTAATGGAAACGAAGAAAGAGGGAGGGGCCGGGGGGGGGGGGGGGCCGGCGGGGCCCGGTGTGGTCGGTTTGAAGTAGTAAGCGTCGGATCCATAGTGTGTTGTTGATTTTGAACCGGGTCGGATTTCGAATTGGTTCCGG